CACATCAGCATTCAGTTTCCACTTCGTTTGCATTTTCCTTTGGGCTGTCACTTGTAAAAATGGGGCACAAAAAGCGTGAAAAAGGGGAATGAAAATCCAAATCAAAGTTGACGACTTCCACATGAACTCTAGCTGTAACTGTAGCTGTATCTGTAGCTGTAGCTGTGTGCCTCTGTGTGTCTCTGTCTCTGTCTCTGTGTGTGTGTGTCATTGCGCTTGTTTCTGTGTGTTTTTGTGCACTTTACGACTTTAATTATGTAAGTACATAATTGTGTTATTATCGTAAGCTCACAGAGCGCAACACATGCCGTCTACGGTTGCGGGTCCGGGTCCGGGTCCGGGTCCGGGTCCAGTTCGGGGTCCATGTCCATGCCTGTGCCTGTGTCTGGGTGCTTATTCTGGGGTCGTAATCCCTGCCCTGGTTTCGGTCATTCTGCTCCACCTCGCTCTCTCCTCTCCCACTCACTCTGTGTGTGTGTGTGTTTGCTGTGGACCTCGACCTCCTCGCTGGCTGTCCGCTTGGCAAGCATTTTACGGCCATTAAGTCCGGCAGTGTCTTTTCGGTGATGCCACCGTTATGTGGCAGCCACTGTCCACCCTCCAGCCTCCACCCTCCACCCTCCTCCATTGCGACCTTATCGTGTTTTTTCGGTGGACTCTGAGCCAGGCCTAACCTTTGGGCTCCTCTTTGCTGTTTACATTATAATCTCTGGACCCGGACCTGGTCCCTGGTCTTCCATCATCCTCCTCCTGCTTCTGCTTCTCCTCCTCCTGCTCCTGCTCCTAATTCTCGTTCATTGTTTTCCTATTATTTAAATTACGAAAATTTCGCTTTTAATTATGCATTGGCAACATTTCCCTTGTTATTTTTGCCGCCCCACGCCCCACGCCCCACGACCTTTTCTTTAGTGTTTTCCCATTAGAAAAGACTTTTCCACGAAAAACGTAAAACTCCCGATTATTGGTAGCCAGCGGTGTCCTCCTCCTCCTCCTCCTCCTCCTCCTCCTCCTCCTCCTGCCGTGACTTTTTCCATTTGTTTTTCTTTAAATATTTTCTTTTAATTAGAGCGTATGTGTGGAGAAGGGGGGGGGGCGACTGGGGGGACAGGTTTTCAATTCAATTATCGCTTAATGATTACTAAATATATGCAAATAATGCCCGAACATCTGAAGCTGACAAATGAGAATTTCTGTCTTGTTTTTTGTTTTGTTTTGTGTGTCATCTTTTTCTTTTGTTTACTTTGCTCGGCGCGGGCAGCACAAGTGGGTGGTGGTGGGTGGTAGGGTGACAGGGTGGCAAGGTGGCGCAGGTTAGGGGCAGAGTCAAGGACAGCGCAATATGAAATCAAATTTCAAACGATTTTTTCCCAAACACATCTCCGATGTCTGCGCAGCTGCTACTCCTGTGGGGCGATGCGAGGGGGGAACAGCAGCCGCCGCAGCAGTTTTTCCGGGGGGGGGGGGGAAAGCCGGAAAGCTGAATAAGCTTCGAGCCAGATTCTCCAGCCTTAGATCCCAGGATCATCAGCCTATGGATCTGTGCCTGCGCCTCCGTACAAACACAAACCTAGACCGAGGCTGAGACCAAGGCTGAGCCGGCATTCGCCACTTGTAAATTGTTATTAAGTGCTTTTCATTTCCATTTCCATTTCCATTTCCATGCTGCTACCCTTCTGGCATCCAATAGGCAGCCCCTCCCACCGAAACCACCGAACAACAGTATCCCTCTCCGGTTTCTCCTGCTGCTGCATGCTCGCGTATCCTTGAGCAGCGATTCGTCAAAGTCAAAACTGGGACGACAGTGTAGATGATAAGACGCGTACTTCTGCAGCCTTCGGTTGCAATTTGTTTGCGAGGGCAACACCGCCACGGCCTCAGTCCCAGCCTCAGTCCCAGTTCCAGTCCCAGCCTCTGCCTCTGCCTCTAGGCCTCAGTCTGAGCCTGGTCTTTGAGGTATCTATGGAATGCCACGGCATGCCTCTTGCCTACTGCCTACTGCCTACTGGCATGGCGGAAATAAATTGTTATTAATGTGCTTGCCTGTGGCTCTGGTTCGGTTTCTGTTGCTGGTTATGGCTCCCCCCCACGCCCACCACCCCACGCCAGCATCTTCTCATCTCTTCCGCTGGCTGAGCAGTGGCAGTGGCAGTGGCAGGAGTCGTGGCTGGAGACCCGAGCTGGGCCCGTGCCCGTGCCCGAGTCAATAAATTATTTGGAAACGCGCGCCAAATTGTAAATATCTTAATGCCCCCCCTCCTGCCCCTGCCTGCTGCTACGTTTCATGTCTGCGTTTCGTGGACGTGAGCGTCGGCGTGGGCGTGGCCAAAAGCCCAAATAATGTGAGCCAATTTAATGTTCTGGCCACTTGTTGAAAGCAGCAGCAGCAGCAGCAGCAGCATCGTCCCATTGTCGCACCCATTCTCGGTCAGGCTTGGGGAGCGGCACGGCACGGCAGGGTGGGGTGTGGTGGGGGGACTGGATGCCTCCTACAAACCATAAACTGTTACGTGCGACGCTCAAATTGATTTGTGCCCAGTCCAGTCCAGCCCAGTCCAGCCCAGCCCAGCCCAGCACAAATCAAATCAATTGCATTAGCAGACTCCTCCGAAGGTAATCATAACTTGGCTGAAGGCAGGACGGGGCACAGCAGGGTACAGCAGCGCGGCAAGCTCTGGGCGGAGCAGTGAGAGAGAGATGGTTCGGCCGTGGCCATAAACAGCCGGAAACAGTCACAGCCGTAAACACGCAGATGAGCAGAAATGAGAGATGGCCATAAAAAAGTGAGGCAAGCAGAAGAAGAAGTCACCCACGTCCCGCTGGCAGCAAGAAGATGGAATACTCTTTCAGCGGTTGCCAGGCTCCTCCCAGGCAGCAGGAGGAGGAGTCACCAAGTGAATGAATGACCTGCCCGAGGGTGTGGTGGGCGGTGGGCAGGGCTGATTCTTGCTACACGTATATACGGGGAGAGTGTCCCGAAGATGCCCGCAGGCCTCGTTAAATTGCGTGCAGCCTCCGACCGCCACAGGAGGACCAGCCTGTCACTCCACCACTCCACCGCGGTTGGCCTCAGCTCAAGGATCCCTGTCCCTGTCTCTGTCTCTCCCCGTTCGTTCCTTCGTTTATTTGCATTTGGCCGTGTGGCACAGTGGGCAAAGTATTCAAAACAGATTTGTTGGCCAGATTGTACAGCGCTAACAGTTCATTACCCAAATGACTGCTGGGCTCTGTGGCAACACAGGGGGTTGGGTGGGTCAGGGGGGGGTGGGCAGCAATTTGGCTGAAAAGGTTTCATTACATATTTTCGGGGGGCGGGGCACCCGAACGAAACGCCGCAAAGCTTCGAATGGAAAACTTTTTCGTTGCAGACTCCATTTGCTCCCTTCGCTCTCTCTCTCTCTCTCTCTCTCTCTCGGGCCATAGTTTACGATTTGATTTAAAAGTTGGGGCCAAGTTTCGAACCGCTCGACTGGGCGTCGGAGGGGAGGGTGGCGGGTTGCGGGTGGCGGGTGGAGCGAGGAATGGCGAAGGAATTGTGGAGCGCCTGCTGTCAAGGGAATTGCTGCTAACTTTTTAATAGTTATTCATACAAAATCATTTACGAGTGCTCTCCACCAAGAATACAACTCATGCCCCCCGCTCCCGCCTCATCCCCTTACAGCATCCGCAGGCCAAACATACATATGTGTGTGTGTCTGTGTGTGTGCGTGGAACATATGCATGTAGATGGGGGGGGGGGAGGTTCCGTTCGAAAATAAGTAAAGGAAACTTTATGAAAAGTTCCAAGCTGCAGCCTGGGGGCGAGACACCGCTCCACCCACCACTCCCACCACTCCCACCGCAAGCGCAGTCTGGCGGAATAATTATGCGCCGCATCGCATGCTGGCCTTGCCCCACTCATCCGCTCATCCGCTCATCCGCTCATCCAGCTATCCACTTAGCCAGTCATCCCCATCCACTTGCACCTGGACACTTATTGATGAGCACTCCTTCCGTCGGAGGCTACATGGCTCGTGCCCCAATCTCCTCCTTCCCCACTCTCTGCTGACTTCCCCTTGCATTCAGTCACCTCCAGATCTTCATTTTGCATTCCATTCTCCGCTTAAAACACTTCCCACTCCTCCCGCCACTGCCTCCACGATGCCACGTGACGGCAGACGGCTTCCTGCCTCTAATCCCTGCCCTGATATCATCAACGGATACATGCAGAATCTACATTGTAGATATCATTCCGCAGCTGAGCAGGTGCCTCCCCCCACAACACCCCCCCCCCCCCACACCCTCCACAGCAGAACCATTTAATGAGAAAATAACTTGGATTTAGCCATAAATTCATTTCCGCCCCTTTGCTTAATTTCCTTCGCTGCTCCGAAAAACTTTTTCGCTACGCGTGAATTCATATGTAATTACAATTACGGCGTAATCTCTGTCCGGACTGTAAGAGCAGACAATACAATATCAGACGGATGGGAAGGGAAAGGCAGCAGCGGAATGGCGGAATGGCGGAATGATTCCGTTGTTGCCCAGCCCACCACATTGGGCCATGGTCGTGAACATGGCCATGAACATGGACGTGGACGTAGACGTGGACATGGACATGCTCATGGCCACGTTGAACACGTTGAACGCACCGTGCAATGGAATCCGGGGCTTTGATTTGGGGCTCTCTCAGTGAATGCGAAATGCGTGTCCCCCCGTGTCCCCCCGTGTCCCCCCGTGTCCTGTGTTTAGTTACAGGATTTCGGAGAGGTAGCGACCGTTAGCGGTTAAGGGTTATGGGCTAAGGGCGGGACAATCGCTGTGTGTGCGCGCCACAGAGAGTTGATTCAATTAATGATTTTCCTAAGCCAATCGATAGGTGGCGCCCCCAGTGAGAGGAGGGGGGGAGCGAGGGCAGCACATCTGCTGCTCTCTAATTATAAAATCAATTCGAATAGCTGCGCCACCCAGCATATCGAATGGCACCTATATGTATCTCCTTTTGTTTTTCGCTACATGCGCAGGACTACATGCCGCAGCTGGCTGGGATCGGGCTGTGCGTGGTCAACCTGATGGACGACATGCAGGAGTACACCAGAGGCCTGTTCCTGCTCATGTAAGTGCGGTGGTGACCCCACACCCATGTCGGCGGGTTTTGTTCCATTCTGCGACTCTCCCGTTACAGGTACTGCGGGCCCCGCCATTCTGTTGTCCTACCTCTACATCCGCACATCCCAGGAGCTGCGTCCGCCGGAGGGCCCCTTTGCGGTCATGATGTACGAGCACCGAGCGGACCTGCGTATGCGCCAGCGGTGAGTGGAGTGCCAGTCGTGCCAGTCCTAGGGCTGTACAATTTTGCCAACAAACTAAACCATAGGCCGCCAGTCTTTTGTTTGTTTATTTTACATTACATATTTTTGCTACAAAGTTATACCCCAGAGGTTGGTTAATGCCTTAATGCAGTCACAACATTTCTGTAATATTTATTAGTAAATTAAATTTTTTGTTTGAATTTGCTTAAATTTAAATTGAAATACCTCCCAAACATAATACAATCTTAATTTTATTTTTTGTGAGCTTTCATACTAAACTAATCATACCCGTACTCAAAAAAGAGTTAAGGGCTATATTAGATTTTTGGTAAAAGTGGATGTCTTCAAGGAAACGTTTCCGACCGCATAAAGTTTATATATTCTTGATCAACATCAATAGCCGAGTCGATAGAGCCATGTCCGTCTGTCCGTCCGTCTGTCCGTCCCGATGAGCGTCTAGATCTCAGAGACTTTAAGAGCTAGAGCAACCAAATTTGGTTTCCAGACTCATGTGATATCACACTGCTGCAAGTGTATTTCAAAATTTCGCCCCGCCCTCCTGCCGCCTCCACAAAAGACGCAAATCTGTGGCAGGCAACGGAAAACGCAGTATCGTAGAGAATGACCATATCTACCAGATTGCTGAATCTGAATCAGATCGGATCATAATTATAGCCAGAATGAAGAATTTTTCAGTTGCTTCCCCCGCCTCCCCAGCCAGACTGACGCTACTCATTCTCTTTCTCGCTCGCACACTCTGCCTGGCTAAGTACGCGAGCGCCCTCTAGCGGAGGAGATCTAGAATCTAAATGGTACATGTAGAATTTACATGTTAGATGTAGAATATGCATTGTAGATGTATATGTAGATACCAAATGTAGCAAAAAAATGTAAATTTTTTTTTAAATTCTAAAATTCTAAAAAATCATAAGCTCAAAAATGTATATACTGACTGAGTACGGGTATAAGTAGAGTCGCGTCCCCAGCAGCGACTCACACGTTCCTTCTCGTTAAAATTTAAATTTGAATACCTCCCAAACATTCTTAATTTCATTTTTTGTAAGCTTTCATCCAAAATTTTGAATTTAAGTTTTGCTTCAAAATAATAACTAAACGTAAGAATAGGAATTCCTAATTCACGGGACCCGTGCACTCGGGCACGTCAGCTGGGTGCTGTCTGCTAATTGGGCTGATTAATTCGCTGGGGGCTACTGGAGGAGGAGTAATACGACACTAGCACGCAGATAGATATTCCAGCAATCCTCGTAATATGAATATCCCTGGGAACCCATCCTCCGCCAGTGCATGCCACCGCTAATGAGCGCGATTCCTCCTCTAATGAGTTCTCTCTCCTTTCACTCTCTTTGCACCCCACGCGGCAGACACTCGTCCACATCCTCGGCAGAGCCGCGCACCCTCAGCGGCGGAGGTGTGGCGGGACTGAGCAACGGAAACCATGCGAGCACCAGATCCTACGACCTGTACAGCGCCGAGCTGGACGTCCATCGGGAGAAGCGGAAGCAGCGGAACTTCGGGAGCATGGCCGCCACCCAAGTGGTGTGCGTGTGCCCCCTGATGATCCTCCGCTTTGCGCGGCTCTCGCTGGAGGAGACGTACGAGAACCAGAAACATTTCGACTTCACCTACCTGATGTTCGTGTGGGTCGCCTTCCTGCCCACCGTGATCTTCCCATGCATCTACGCCTCGCAGATACTCCCCAGGTAAGGGGATCCGATCCGCCTCCTTTTAATCTCATAGCTGCTAACTTTTATTTGTGATCTCTGCCCACTGTCCACTGTCCCCCATGACTTTTATTCTTGCATCTCCCAGGGATGAGCAGGAGCGTCTGCGGGGCTACTTTCGTCTCTCCTCGAAGCGGAAGCAGAAGAGCCAGCGGCGCAGCGATGCGGGACGCGAATCGGGCGGCGGATCACGCGAGGACTCCATCGAGAAGGACGAGCCGACCAACACCACCACCATACAGGGACACCAGGGACACCACGAGCCGCCGCACAAGCATCCGGCCAAGGTTCGGAGCCACGAGAGGAGTGGAGGAGCAGGACTGGCCCATGGATCCGCCGGCGATCGCTACAGCGGAGCCCCCTACAGACAGGGCAAAGACAGAGAGAGAGATCGCGAGAGAGACAGGGACAGGGACAGGGAAAGGGACAAAGACAGAGAAAGGGACAGAGATAGGGACAGGGACAGGGACAGGGAGAGAGATAGGGACAGGGACAGAGACAGGGATAGGGATAGGGAGAGAGAGCGTATGAGAGGCGGACGTGGTCCTGGGGACGCTGGGGTGGTCAACAATCTGGGCAAGGATGTGCGCGGCAAGAAGCACGACGTGAAGATCAACATCATCTCGGACGGCGGGCACTCCAGCAGCCACCCGCATGCCCACCGGAAGCACCCTGGGAACAGCAGCAGCGGCAGCAGCAACCGCAGCAGACCGACGCCCAGTCAGCGCCACGGCAGCGCCAGTGGCGCCACCCTACGCGGTGCGGAGTGCATGTCGGGCATCACCGCCTCCCCCTACTGCAATGGGAATGGCAACGTGAACTTGGCTGGGATCGGGATCGGGCTAGGGATGGGGACCGGGACTGGGACCGGGAACACGAGCATACTGGATGACAGCAGCACCAGCAACTATGGCGACGGGGAGGAGAGTTCGGTGGTGAGCAGCATGATGGTGCCGCCGCAGCGCTGGCCGGGACTGGGGCCAGCAGCAGCCGGGGCGGGGCTGGGGCTGGGGCTGCGGCACAAGGACGTTTCGTTCAGCGAGTGCAGCAGCAGCACGTTCTCGTCCAGCACCCTGGAGCGCGACCTGGAGATCATGGACCAGCTGGAGCGCGAGCGCAGCATGGACATCCAGGAGATGCTGCAGCGGGAGCAGCAGCGGGAGCAGCGCGAGAAGAGCCGCCACAGCGGGGGGCGCCAGCTGCCGGACATCGAGAAGCTCTACGCCCAGCGGTCGCCCAAGGCCAAGCGCGAGGCGCCGTACGGCTACGACAAGGCCGCCCTGGCCCTGGTCCTGCCCGGCAACGACCCCCTGAGCAGCCTCTCCCTCACCGGCAGCAGCCAGCCCACGGAGTACAGCATGTGCTCCTCGCTGCAGGACCCCAGTCTGGAGCAGCAGCAGCAGCAGCTGCAGGAGCATCGACTTGAGCGCAGGGAACGCGAGCTGCATGGGCATGACCAGGAGCAGGAGGAGGAGGAGGAGGAGGTAGTGCCACCGGACTTCTACGACAACTACACCCCCGGCGGGGCGCAGAACTTGCCCCCGGCTGTCGCCCAGGCAGCCGCCATCAGTGGCCAGGCTGTCGCGCCCGCTCCGCCGCCCGCCTATCAGTATCAGTACAGTCGCAACCGGCTAAGCCGGAAGAGCTCCACTGGGTCGCACCACCCCCACACGGGCGGAGCCATGTCGTCGCGCTGCTCCAAGCGGGACAGCTTCAACTCGCTCAACGGCACCGACCTCATTGCCGGTGCCTTCTGCGAGCTGGATCCGACGCAGCCGCTCAACAAGATGGCCGTCATCGAGGGTCGGATGCGCCGCAGCAGTCCCCGGAACGCCAGCTTCAGCTCCGGCTCGGGCTCTGGTTCCGGGCGTAGCTCCATGAAGTCCTCGTCGCGCGACTATGGCCACGGCTCGTCCTCGCACTCGGCCCATCCCGAGCTCGACTTCAGGGAGAATATTTTTGCCGAGCTCTAAAATGAATCAGGAGTAAAACAGAGAGGAGCAGAAAGGAGCAGAGAGGAGGAGAAAGGAGTAGGAAACGGAACGAAAAGCTTTAGCCTGTTGTTGGTTGCGGGGCCCGAGAAGTGCCCGAGAAGTGCCCGAGTTCCCGAGAAGTTTGTTGCGGCTGCAGTCGGGATAAGTCGGAATAAGTTGAGGTTGGATGTGAGGTAGTTTGGTGGTGCTCTCGCCGTGGGTTCCTTCCTCTGCAGGATCTCGTACACAATATTTATAGCGTTTGAAGCAGGGCGTTCGAAGGTACAGCGAAGAGTTTGCTCAGAGAATTGTTGGGCGGTTAATCAAACACACAAAACAAAATTTGTGGTAAAACTCAAAAGAGAGAATATTGCAGAGATTACAAAAGGTTGCAGATAACCGAAACAGATAAACAGATAAACAGATAAAGAGATACACAGATAAACAGATACAGATTACAGATTATATATGATATATGGATATACATGTGTATATGCAACGTTATTGGAGTACTTCAGCAACTTGGTTGTTGACTGTTGAGTGGATTGATTGATTGATTGTTTGATTGATTGATTGTTTGTTTGACTGTTTGTTGAATGCTTTTGTCAGACATCAGCTGCAGATCAGAGCTGGATCTTAGCTGAATCAGAGCTAGCACGGGAATCGAATTTAGATTCCAATATCGATATCGTTGTGAATCGATGATTAATTGTAAATTGTGGTAAATGTGCCAAGGATAGCCCGGGCTAGGAACCCACATATGATATGACATGATATGATATGTACTCTAATTGTAATTGTAATTGTAATTGTAACCGTATTGCGGCATATAGTATCTGCATATGTATTGTATATGTATATCTTTTAAATGTTGCTAACCAGAAAGAGATGCAGATGCAGATGCAGTTTTTAAAACTTTTCCCCCAAATTAAACATACAAACAAACAAAACTAAAAGTACATACACGTTTACATATATGCATAATGATAATACGAAACACAAAACATATATTATATCATATACTATATATTATATACACTCTATATATTGATAGCTAAGAGACATATTGATATATTACCAAACTAAATGCAAAGTCTATTGAATGTTGAATCAATGCAAAATGTCAAAACAAAACAAAAGTACACGAAATACTTAATTGTAAGTTAAATGAATATGTACGTTAAATATATCATAGGTGCAGATGCAGATATCTACGCCTTCCCCTTCTTCTACTGAGCCCCGAAGAAGTGCTCTAAAACAGATTACAAAACAAAACAAAAAGAAACCTCTACACAGCTACAGCTACAGCTACAGATACACACACACTCGATTACTCGATTTCAGGCTCAGAGATCTGTGGCTCCCAGCAAGGAGAGTCCAGCTCAGAGTCCACTCCCTGCCAGACACGTTGATCTCCGGGGTTTTAGGAAGATGTTGTTGTTGTTTGTTCGTTTGGTGGATCTGCTGGCAGGGCGGTGGGGGGCAGGGGGGATGCAACGTTTTTTTGTAGCATATAAGCCATATAAATATCGGAGATACCCATATACCTAGCTATAGATATTTGATGTATGTGTTTACCCCTATGCATATAATTATATGTCTCTACGTATACGTATTGCGTATACGTGTTTTGTGTGTGCGTGTGTGTGTGTGTGTGTATATCGAATAAGTTGACTTTTTTTTTTGTCGCTATTTGTGGCGCTGTGTGTGGAGAGTGTGGAGAGATTGTAGAGAGCGAAACTAATAAAAAGAGAATTTTATGTGAGTTGAAAGCACACAAAAGCAAATATCTATCTTTTGGTATCTATTTATTTGCCACGTCAATGTGCGGGGGGGGGGGGTGTGCATCAACAGTGGGGCTTACTGTAGGTGTAGGTTTGCTCTGCTCTGCTCTGGGCCATGTGCCATCTGCCATAAAATCCCTTTTGGCTCTTGCTGTTTGCCTTTGGCTCCCTTTTGGCTACCCGTTTGGCTATAGGTAGGCCGCCTCCCCCCCCCTATGACAGCAGGAGAATGGGGATGGTGATGGGGGTACGGTGTGTCCCATGTCGCCCCAATATAATCTGTGCCAATGCAAAAACCGGGCGCACCCAAAAACGGACGGGCACCGAAAAATAATTCGCAGCCGAACCATAAACGCAGCATTCGCCGCCAGGGGAGGGAAGGTGGCCGCCGCATGGGGTGATGGGGCCGGGGCCGGGGTCGGAATAGGGTCAGTGCGCGAGTTCAAAAGTTCAAACTGGGGTTTAACAGCCCCAAAAGCAGCTTTCTCTCTCTCTCTCTATCTCTTTCCATGTGGCTCCCGGGGAGGTCACTTCGGCCCAGGGCGCCTCAGCCGCCGGCTGCCTTCAGGCCGCTCTGGACCGTGCCACGGCTCCGTTTCAGTCCATCCGTGACCCCCTGACCCAGTAAAATGATTAAGTGCCGTATTTAGCAGCTGGCTAGATTTGCTTGTTTCCACCGCCACACTCCGCTGCTGCCACCGCCACACTCCGCTGCCAACAGTTCCCATTGCGAGTTCCAGTTTTAACTCGAGCTCCTCCTTGTCTCCTCTATTCTCTATGTTCTTTGCATAATTTGTGCTGCTTATTTTGATGGCTTATGGCGGCGGGTAATCGTAAACTGACAAGCATTTCATTCGCAACGCAAAAGTCAACTTTAATGACCCGCCATTACAAGGAACAAGGCAACCATTTCGGATACAGAATGGCCAAAAGGAGTGCAGCTCCGTGCTCCGTGCTCCGTGCTCGGGGACCGTGACTAGCCTCAGCCTCAGCCTCAGTTCCTGCGAAGCTCCACACCCTCGTTGAGGACAAGTTATGGATATGGGCCGCCTCGCAATAACACCAGTATCGCCAGAGCCCACCATCCGCCATACGTGTGTACGCTGGCCACGAGTCACATTCGAATGGCACGCCACACAACATTCAGGCGTGTGAAATGCGCTTTCAATTACGTCCGAACGGAGGTCGGATAGGATCCAAGACGAGGCAATACGAGGCGTAATGAAATGCGCGTAAATAAATTTATGACGATCACGTATACGCACCGTTTGCCGCTTCAGGTAGCCGTAACTCCGCCTTAAGTGACCATTATCCATTGCCTGCTGCTTTCATAATCGATGTGCCATAGCCATAGCCATAGCCATTCGCAGTCCCTTTCCCATACTCTCTTTTGGTCAGCAAAACAGCAAAACGCTTGAGGCTTAAACTGCATTTGAATGGAGCCAATTTCTGCTACTCTTGTTGGCCTTAACCCCGCTTCCGCAGCATGGCTCTGGCCACAACGATTTTCGCAACTCTCTGCCATCCAAGAGAGAGAGAGAGAGAGAGAGAGAGACTGTCATGTCTGTTTTCTGTTTTCCGTTTTTCTCTTTCTCTTTCTGTTTCTGCTTCTGTTTGCGGGTTTCTCTACGTAATTTTTCGGTTATTCCCTGCACGTTCCCATAAACAACATTTTATGCCCGTGTTTATGTTTAGTTTTTTCTGCTACTGGCACTGGCACTGCCACTGCTACTGGGCCCCCAGCGGGGGAGGATTGTTATGTAAGTGCCAAAGAGCGTATTCAATTTGAATTGGAATTGCCATCGACATCGCCATCGACATCAGAGTCGTCGGCATGTCTCTCGTTATTGTCGTTGTTTCTGCCGTCTGTCTGCACATTCCATATTCCGAACACATTGCCCTCAAACGGCAAGAAAAGTTTAAAGAAAGTTATCAGCAGTCAACATTCAACAGAAACACAAAAGAAAACAAGCAAATTAAAATAAAAATGCAATTATGGAGCATTATAATATTGGACGGGGGCACGGCGTTCCACAAGTGTCCCAGGGATCCAGGGGATCCAGGGGATCCAGGGGATCCAGGGGATCCAAGGGAGCAACAAGTGAGCCCTCGATGCGATGGAAACCAACGCATGGTCCACTGCTCCCTGAAGTTCTATTCAAGAGTATCGTCATAGAGATGGATGGATGGCAGCTGGAGGGAGGCAGGCTGATGGACGTGTCGTCACAACACTCTCGATTTTTTGGCCGCGGCTTCTGCATAATAAATGTCGCAAGCGAAAGGGAGTGGGTGGGGGTGGCGGAGAGAGAGAGTCGCTGACAGTCGCTGAACAATTGGATAATCGAAAACAGCGCTCTGGGGCACTGCATAGACTCGTACTCGTACGAGTATATAATGCTGGGGCGGACGGCGGGCGCTGCACATTCACAGTCGCTTTTCGCCGTGTCGCGTACTCCGACTCCGATAAGCAACCGATAACGAGCCGCACGTGGCATCAGCGGAGGGCAAGGGCAGCGAGTAGAACCAACCAACAATTAGCACTCGTCCGTAAATCATTCGTCCGTGGACATGTTTGCAGTGGCCTTGATAATGGCGGGTGTGGTCCTGGCCGGCCAGCAGGCAGCCTGCCGGGCGCAGGTCTCCTTCCACACGGACGCCAACACGAACTCCTACAGCGTGAAAACGCCGCAGCTGCAGCAGACCTTCACCCGTTACTACGGAGCGGCCAAGCAGGAGCAGCCACAGTCACAGCAGGAGGTGCAGCAGGATCAGCTGGTGAGTCCTGGGAGTCGTACACAGGTACATTTATTTCAGCTTCAGCATTTTACAAAAATCGCGAATTTAGCACATCATCTGCAGGGGCCAGCGACCGACCTCTGGTCTACCATTTAGCCAGGCAGCGGCAGACTCATGACATCGCCAAAGCCCAGCTGCACGGCTCCGTCCATCCGCTGGCCGAGAACCTCAACGCTCTGCTCGTGGCGCGCACCGCCGCCCGTATCCATCAGCTGCTTCAGCTGCCCCGCGGCCAGTGCCATGCCAGTGTCCAGATCCTGTCGAAGAAGTTTTCGGTTAGGCTCAGTACTGGGATATCTCCCCCTCTTGGGTTTCTCTCGTCTCAGTCTCAGTCTCAGTGTCAGTGTCAGTCTCACCTGTGGGCGAGCTTCAGTGCAGGCCAGCAGCAGCAGCAGCAGCAGCAACGAGCCAACCAGCCACAGAGTCAGACGGCGCAGTGTCATCATAGTGGATCCGATTCGGGTACGGATATGCAAGCTGCTTCATAGCGCACGTTCTATTTAAGCTTTTTTTTTTTGGGGGGAGGGTAAGCGAATGCAATTAGCCGCAAGCGTGGGGAGGGGTGTTGGTATCTTCTAATTACTTAGTTGCATCGTTGCTGCAGTTGCTGCAGTTGCTGCAGCTGGCCCTGCCTGACCTTTTTCCTGTCTTCCTGTTCGGTATTGCATTTTCCGCCTCTGATTCGCAGATTCCGATAAATGTAGCTGACTGATTAACATGGCATAACCTCATGGCGGTCGTTCACGTTTCGTGTTGCGTGTGTGGCCATCATTTAGCTGGGCAAATAGCGAGAATAGAAGTAATTCCAAACACCGATCTCTGTAGATTTGCAGCACCCCCTCCCCACCCCAACTAGATCATATTGGTCGATATTAGCCATTAGCCATCAGCAGAATTTATTGAGCGAAAAACAAGCAGATCCGAGAGCGCCTCCTCCTCCTAGGCATCATCTGTGGAGAACACCGCGTGGCCGTCATTGGGCCGGCGTCCATCGCTGAACAGATTCGAGAGCTCCTCGATGTAGCTGCGGGCGGAGTCTACCATCGACTGCCAGGCATTTCGAATGCTCTGCCCGAACTGCTGTGCCGCATTGCTGATCTGATTGTCCAGCCGCGGCTCGTCCGGGTACACCAGATGGGGCCGCACATCGTCATACTCGTTGGAGTAGTCCAGGTCCAAGTCGAGATCCCCCAGTCCACCGCCGGCCGCAGCCAGCACGAAGATCAGAGTCAGGGCGTAGATGAGTGCGGAAGTCATTTGGGCAACTGTTGAATAATCGTGCCCGAGTGCCAGCTTTTGTACTGGGACGAGCGAGCGTGCAGATTGCAGATTGACCCCTGCTGATTAGGCGATCTCCACCTCCCCCCCCCGGAAATGTTCACATGCAACCGAACATGCTTTCAGCCGGAAGTGGAAGTGGAAGTGGAAACCCGTGCCATGAATCTGACAAATTTCTGGCTGCCCGTGCCATTTCCATTTCCATTTCCATTCAGATCTGCATTCAGATTTCCATTTACTTTTATTAGATTTAACTTATTTGCAACACAAAAAAAAAACCAAAACAAAAAGTAACACTGTGGATGGGGTGGGGTGGGGTATCGGGGTATCGGGGTATCCCACCTAGCTGCGGCCTGCTGCGGCTGCTCCTGCCGCGCTGGTTATCTTCTTCTGCATCTGCTGCACCGCATCCGCGACGTTGTCCACCAGGGTAAGCCACATGCCCTTGAGGCGATCGCCAAGGCTCGCCGCTGCCTGCTGCTGCTGCTGTCCGCCGCCAGCTTGCTGCGAGGGCTGCTGGCGTCTCCTTCGTAGGAGCTTCTTCTTCTTGGTGCTCTTCTTGGGAGTGATGCGGGATCGGGAGGCGTTGTTGGCGGCTCGCTTGCGGGCCCGCTTCTTGCGCGCCTCCACCTCGTCCTCGCCGGCAGGCTCCGTGGGCATGGTCATCTTCCAGTGGCAGGGCGCACGCTTGATCCGCTGGGACCGCTGGGACCGCTGGGCCTGCTGCAAGCTCCGTCTTCTCCTGCGTCGCCTTCGCTCCTCGGACTCGGAGGAGTCGCCGCCAGAAGGCGGCCGCATGGCGTCGCCAAAGCCCGCGGCCGTCTTCGAGTGCACCGACATCAGGGGATTATCCACATTAAAGTCACGATTGATGGCCGCGCCACCCTGCACAGCCTCGGCGACATTGGCGGCCACGTTCATGGCGCCCAGCGCCAAATTCTCCAAGGGATTCTGCGGTCGGGCCCGAGCCAGGCTCAAGCCGAGTCCGACGAGCAGCAGTCCAATCAGCTGCGACCTCATCTCTCCACTGTGACCTGTCCGCGGTCCACGGCCTGCTTTAAAGGCGGCCAGCATCGCGTGACCGATTCGATTCGGAATCGGATGCGGATTCGGATGCGGATTCGATACGAGATCTCAGTAGGCTTCCGGCTAACGGCTAACGGTTCCAGGCACTGCTGCTGTCAGGGCTTCATCGGGGTATCCGTCAGACATCTGACTCGGTTTTAGTTTCAGTTTCAGTTTCAGTTTCATTTGTTCGCTTCGTCAGCGCGTATCGGTTCGGAGTAGTTGTAATTTTTGCTCTCGAAATATTATTTTAGATTTAGAATTTAGAATTTCGAATTCGAAACATTGGAATATCTCGCCACAAATTCAGTAGTTCAGTTCGCCTCGCTCCTTCCGCCACAATCCGAAACAAATCCGCAGTGGGATTCCCTGAGTCAGCAATCCTTTCACCACAGCCAAAAATGAGATCAAACAAAGCCCGTACACAGAGCCATGACAACAGACTGGTAAGACTTCTCTGGGCCTCACAGCAGTGGGATAAATAGCTCATAAGGGATTGCCATAATTAGCGCGGCTTATTGTTCACCTGTTCACCTGTAACCCGTTTCCCATTTCTATTTCGACAGCAAATTTCTACGCCTTTCGGTGGCTTTCCGGCAGCAGCAGCTCCACATACGTCTGTGTATCAGCAGCCGGCTCCGGCTGCAGGACGCGCGCCAGCTCGCGGGGGAAAGCTCAAGCCATCAGTCCCATCCACTCTCCAGCAGCAGCAGCAGCAGCTGCAGCAACAGCACGAGCTCCAGGCCCAGCAGCTGCTGCAGCAGCAGCAGCAGCAACTGCTGGCACAGTCGGGAGTGGCGGCCCCCGAAGTGGCTGCTGCCGCCGGACAGCGCGCCCCCGTGCCCACCTATGCGGACCAAATGCAGGCCGCCTTCCTTGACTACCAGCGGCAGCGAGTGGAGTTCGAGCAGCAGCAGCAGCAGCTGCTTCAGAAACTCTACCAGTTCTATCCGGACATGTCCATCGGACAGGCCCAGGCCCCCGGACAGGGACAGGGGCAGTCCCAGGGGCAGTCCCAGGCCCAGGCCCAGGCCCAGCCACAGATCCAGCCTGATGTCGCAGGAGCTGCTGGATCGCGTTTCGTTTACCGTCGTCCGCAGTTCGGATCCAACGGGCTGCAGCAGCAGGCTGGCCGTCTGTCCGGCAACCAGGGAGCAGCTCAAGGACAGGGCGTTCGTGCCGCGTACTCAGCGGGCGACATCTACTCAGGATCAGGGGGCGGTCGAGGTGGTCAGGCCGCGCCCACAGGTGGCGACTTCTACTCGACCCAGCAGCACATGGGCTTCCTGCAGCAGCAGCAGCAGGACGTGCTGCGCGAGCAGCAGCAGCAGTTTGCCAGCAGCCAACTGGCCCCCACCACCACCCAAAGCTACGGAATGGCCGTCCCAATGTCCTCCGTGCTGGGCTCGCCCTCGTTCCAGCCCTCGTCGGACGTTTCCCACGTGAGCTTCAGCAGCGGCAATCTCAACTACAATTTCTAGTCAGCCGGAAGCAGCCGAAGCAGCAACAGGATCCGTCTCTATCTTAAGTATATTTTTTTTCGATCTATTAAGTTTTTTTTTCGTCGAAATTCCTAGTGAATAAATTCAGAATTCTCGTCTGGCATCAACAATAAATTGCTATGAATGATTAAATCTAAAAGCCTCTGATTACGGGGTATTCGCAGTTCGGTAATACGGGAATTCAGCGCCTACAATGGCGATGATTTAGAGCTCTGCCTAAAATTGCTGAAGATTTCGAATTTCTAGCAGGCTCAAAAATAAAAACTTCTACAGATAATGAGCTTAGACAACAGGCGCACGATTTTGTTAATCTGAACCATTTGGCGGTTCTCCAGTTATACATATATTACAAAATATTAACCCGACACCAAACTATAAAAACTCGGAGATATTCCGGTTACATCTGCATCGATTACAACGATCCTTTAGCACACTGAAGCGGATACAAGAAAGATTGAGTAAACTCAGTTTATTAACAATAGAGTATAATCGAAGACTATACAATACCAAGTTGTTGCAGGACGAGCAAAATGCTCGCTCAATTTTCGTTTAATGCTTTTGGGTACGGGCGCGCGGGGCTATTTCTTCACTTATCTTTTGGGCTCTGAAATGCTACAGGCGCAGCGGCACAGCCAAAAAGGGCTTGCACAGGTCAAAACATTTTGTGAGCGCTCTGGATACGTAAAATAAAAATACGAATCTAAAAGAGAATTTTCCAGAGAATATGAGATGTAAGCACTTAAAGTTGAAAATTGTTTCAGGGTGAACACTTATTCGCTTATTAATTTAGCAAGCTGAAATGGCCGAGGGCCCCACTGTGCGAAATGCATGCACATGCATGCACAGACGAAGCCGACGGGCAGCGGGTTCGCGGTCAAAAACGAAGCATAGCCGAAAAGAGAACTGAAAGCTCGCGCGCTCCCTCCTCTGTTCAGTACATGGGACGTAGCGATAAGCCACGCCATACATAGAACCGGTTCTTCGCTCGCTCATGCAGCATCTTGTCATTGTATCACAGAGAAACTTAATATTGATGAGATTATAAAGCAGCTTGTCACCATGAAAGCAAGAAGAGTAATGTTTTAAATTTTCTCTAAGTCACTGAAAATAATTCTCAGCACGACTTTTACGCTGTGGCCCAAAATGACTTTTTCTGATAGATTGCGGGACTTAAATTTGGTTAACGAATTATTCATTTTTTTATGGTTTAGTTTTTTTTAAAGAATTTAAAAAAACTTTGTATTTTTAAATGTTTTTTTTAAGAGTTACGTGCTTCTATTTTCCACATAACTGAAGTATTGTATATTTGGTTGCATACAACTTAGCAATTCTGCAAATCTGACAAATGCAGCTATAAATCCGAACGCGACACTTTGTAGCTGCAGCTTAACGCCTCGAAGATATTAAGCTTTCAAATTCAAATTTCATCTTTATTTGCGGTATTTTTTCCGAAATTTTGACTTTAAAAACTTAGGAAAAATCGAAAAAAAAAAATTCTTGGCATGCATTTTTAGTTCTAGATAGACGCATTAATTAGGCGTCGTTTAAGGTATCGCTTGTAAGAATCGATGAATAAACGGCCAAGTTGCAGCCGTTTCAGCAAAACGACTCAAAACTCATTTTAACTGAAAAATACCGTTGCTGGTCCAATGCCAAAGGAAAACGTTGAGGAAAATGTGTGTTTTCCATTGTGGGTATGAAAAGAGGAGACTGCGTGCTCCCATTAAGACTGTTTGTAGAGTTTATAATCGCATTGGAGCTTCAATGCTCCCATTTATCAGCTCACCGCAAGAATTTGGTATGTGGTGTGGTGTGGGATGGCGGCTGGCAGCTCTATTAATAGGTACGAACGATATCCATGGAAATGAACGGCAAAGCAAAGCAAAGCCTTTTCTCCTGCCTGAGCTGCTGGGCTGCTGGGCTGCTGGGCTGCTGGTGGGTGGTTGAAGGCAGTGCCAGTGGCAGTGGAAATATTCAAAGGATTCAAGGGATGGCAATCGCCTTGGGTACCCTATGCGTGGGGTGGGGGGAGGTTTGGCAAGGGCTGGACAGATGAAGGCGTCGCGTTTAGGGATTGAATTGCATCATTCGAGTATTTGCCACATGTGTGGCATCTGCATTTATATCTGCATCGAATTTTTGCCCAAGACCCCCCCAAGGGAGCATTATGCAATCCCCTTTCAGACTCGCTGCCCAACAGGTGGCACTGGGCACCCATGGGCATCCAGGGTTATATTTGCCTCATGATGTACGTGTCCTTGAGGATTCATCTGGCCGTGTCCACCTGCCAGCAAGGACGGCATCGCTCCGGGCATACGGCCCAGCTGCCAATGTAAACAGCAAATCGAAACGTAACGAAAGCCAAGAAAATCTGCTGCCAAGAAACGACTGAAGTTGAAGGCAGGAACAGTGGGACGCAGAGCCAAAAACACGACAATTGCATTAGAAGAGTGGCGCCCCCCCTCCACCCCGGAGGAGCGAACAAACAATAACCCGCTGACTAAGCTCGTACACTCGAACAAGCACAAGGCAAGACCCAAGCCAAGACAAGAAATAATAATAAAATGCTCGTACTGGAGCCCTGCTGCACACCCTTTGCACACCCTTTGCACGCCCTTAACATTTAAAAGTAATTCAATTAAAGATCCGCAATCCCCTTGCCGGATGAATATTAATTGGAAAAGCCCATAGCTATTTTGCCTGAGAGCCTGAGAACCTGCAAAATCAGACACTGATTTTCCCCAGCTTTCCCAGCGACTTATTTGCATGGAAAAATTCGCATTTCGGTTGGGACAGACAACAACAACGAATTCAAGTGAAAGAAAAAGAATCAAGAGGAAACGGAGCCGAAAAAAGAAAAGAGAAAAATGGAAATGGAAATGGAAAACTAGCCGAATGAGGCGCAAAGCAAACACAGTTACAAAATAGGCCCACGTGTACACAGACATGTGTGTGAGTGATTGTGTCCGTGTCCGTGTGTTGTGTGTGCTGTGGGCTGAGGGCTGAGGGCTGTGTATGCGTAGGACCGCATCCTGTTCATTTCCCCAAACGAGAGGAGCAGGCCAGGACAATGGACAATGGACAATGGCAGACGGGGCTTGAACAAACAGCGCCACGACCAGGATGGACATGCCATGCCTCGTGCCTCTAGACACGACTGTTTGCCCTGGGCTTAAGTCAGCAACAAGCTTGCAGCTGCCTCTTTCACTTCCGCTGGCACTGCCACTGCCACTGCGACTAGGGAACCCGCAGCAGGCCATTATGGGCCAGCAGCAGCAGCAGCAATCATAGAGCCAAAAATACGAGACGAGCTCCCCCACTCGACGAGTGGGCCTGGCTTCCTAATTAGTTGCGATAATTGGGACAAACTTTCGCCCGAAAGATGAGATTAAATGTAGGGCACGAGTCAGTTGCAGATGCAGTTGCAGATGCTTCATGCTAACCGCAAACAATTTGCCTCAAGGGCCCTCATCCTCCTACTACTCGTACGCCAGCAAATTAAAAACCGATTGAACTTGGGCTTGGGCGAATGATACGCCTAAGCCTGACAAAACGGCCTGGCAATTATGTAGGTCGAGAGGAGATTGGCAACAGACCGCAAAACGAGGTAGCAGCCTCGTGCATTTTGGGGCCCCAGCCCTTGCATCAGGGATAATGTGAAGTTCGGTTAAACGAGAAAATGGCAAGTGGGAACCAGGAAAATACTCGTACTGCCTATTGCAGGCTACGATCAAGTCTCATTTCTCATCTTTCGCTAATTAATGTGAAGTGCGTTTGGGCTGCTTACAGCACTTGCAACCCTGTCCCTTTCCCCGTCCCTGGGACATGGGAACAGACCTCGACTCGACTCAAGCCAAGTGACATTTTGAATGCCATAGAAGTGCTGCTCCAGGGATGTCCCTTCCCTTCCCTTCCCTTCCCACCATTGCTACGAGTATTTTGGGCAAAGACCAAAATAAATTGATGGCTTGTCTATTTTGGGCCATGTGCGAGTGACGTAAATGGATTTTTGGGCTTTTGGGGGCCTTTGCACTTTGCACTTGGCATTGGTGGTGGGGGGGGAGGGGCTTAAAATCCGCAAAAGATTTATATGTGAATGGACGTGGCATGGATGTGGCTGTGGATGTGGATGGACAGTGCGTCTTGCAGCTCTAAGTGCTTCGTTTGGAGTCAAACAGAAGTGCAGTCGCTGCTGCTGACCGTCATGGAGCAGCACGCTGTTCGAGAACGAGTAGGGGTACGGGTAGGGGTACGGGTACGGATACTGGTACGAGACTACATCTGTCCAGAGTTTATCCAGAGTTATGTTCCAAGGGCTCGCGGGCGACGGGCTGTCGTGTTATGCGCCATAACTTTATGGCGTTGATCAACTGGGGCGTGGCAAATAAATCTCCGAGCAGCTTCCCTAAATAGAGGGACGATATATGCAAGGTCTGCATCATATATCATAAAACGACAGGTCCTGGGACCCACTACACGCCCCCCGCCCCCCACAGACATGGAGTGAAAGTCAGTTATAACAATGAGTTTTTTTTTTTATTTATTTTTCCAACATTTCCACTTGCATTTCGTTTCAGTTTACAAAATAAGTTTAAATACAACGTAAGTTCAACCGCGATAAAAAAAAAACACATACAGTACAGTACGGGGCAGCATTCAGTGGGCAGGGGGGGGGGGCGGTAGCTGGGGTTGTTACGGCGGATGGGTGAGATGGCCCGCCCGTTCCTTGCCCCGCAGAGCGTAAGCCCTGCAGCTAAAGAAAAAACATAATAATAATAATAATAACACAAAAAAAAAAAAACCACGAAGCACGGACACGGACACGGACAGGAGCACGGACACCCTCTCTCAGAGGATTGCGGCGTACTTTTCGGTGAAAATCGGCAACGTTGCAGCGTGTCGCAGTCACAGCTCACAGCTCACCTCGGTCACAGTTGCTCCGGTTTTTGCGCGCTTAACACTGCCGTACACTGCCGCACACTGCAGTTAACAAATCGAGTTTTAATTAAGTCGAGCAGCGCCCCGGCATCACTGGCAGCCGGAGTGAAAGAGCGGAGGAGCCGGCAACACGCGCGCTCTGGGTATTATTGTTCCCATTATTATTATTATTATTATTATTATTATTATTAGCGTGCGCCAGGAACAGGGACAGGGACAGGGACTGGGACGAGAGATGGATGCGTTGGGTGCTTGCTTTTCTGGACGGACGAATGCATGTCCGGGCGGAGGGAGCAGGAGCAGGAGCAGGAGCAGGAGCTGCAGCTGGAGCTCGAGCTTATGGTGACAATGGCGGGGCTACTGGGACTGGTACAGGGAGCAGGGAGGCAGGGTCACGGCGTAATCTCCCTAGTAGCCGTACTGAATGCCGTGGCCAGAGACCGATGTGTGTACCAGGGCGGGTGCGGCAACGGCGGCTCTGGTAAAAGAGAGAGAGAGAGAGATAGAGAGGGAGAGAGAGAGGGGGAGAGAGAGAGGGAGAGATGAGCGTGCGATTATATTTGTCCATCTGTTCGGAGAAGGGTGTGGCGCGGCTGGCGTGGCTGGGGGGGGGGCTCCAGGGGGGCTTGGCTGGGGCTCTATTAATAACGACTCCGTCATTTCTCATTACTCACTTCAGCACTGGGCCACCAAGGTGCGCAGCGTAGGCGGGTGCAGCATACGCAGCGGGGGCGTAGCCGTGTCCAATGATGCCGGGAGCTATAGTCGGGGGGGATCAGCAACAGAAGAAGGAGGCAAAAAGTTAGCATAAGAGCACACAAAGAGCGAGAAAACAAAGTGAAAACAGAGATATGGAAATATAGCTGTAGAGAACACAGAGAGATAGAGAGAGATAGAGAGAGAGGGAGGGAGGGAGAGGGAGAGTACGAAAGGAAAATACTGAGACAGAGTCCAGCTTGTCGAGCATCCCCAAATTAAAATCGGGACAGGGACAGGGACAGAGAGAGAGAGAGAGAGAGAGAGAGAGGTCCTTGCTCTGTTTGGACAATGTTGTGCTCCTGTCGTGCTCCTGTTCTGCTTCGATGTTGTTCACGGCAACCGCAGAGACAATTGTCCAGGTTCCACACACACAAACAAACATTTCTCAGCTCTGCTCGGAGCGTAGTAGTGTGCGTAGTGCCTAAGCAATCAACCGACAAGATGACATCAATCAAATGGCAGAGACACACACACACAGGAGGAGACAGCACCCCCCTAGGCGGCAGTGGTACGGGGCTGGCAGACTCCGCCATGACTTGGACTTGGACGTGGACGTGGACGTGGACTTGGACACCCCGCATCTGACATGACACCAGGCAGCAGAATGCATTTTTTTTTTTTGGGTGGGGCAGTGACGGGCGACCCTTGGGAGCCGCTGACTCCAAAACTGGCGTCTGTCCTATTTGAGTCATCATCAGCAACGCCTGACGGCTGATGGCTTTAAAGTAGTGCGCCCCCCCACCCCCCCCCCCCCAGAGGAGCCCGGTTAGGGGCAATGAATGATTGATTACAGGGCCGAACATTTGGCCTGCTGTCAGGCCCGCCTCGGGCCTCGGGCCTCGGGCCTCGGGCCGCACTTGTCCTATCTGTTTCGGGGAAGACAAATCGATAGCTGACGGACAGAAAGAGCTTATCCTGTATCCCAGTTTGCATGTAGCAAGGTGTCGGGGAGGCGAATCGATTGAGGCACACCCCCTCACCATGGGCAGCTAAGTGTCATGCAAGGGGGCGTGAAGCATCCATTCCTCAAGGGGGGAGGAGCCAAGCCTTTGATCACATCGATCGCTTGCTTTGTTCTTTTTCGACTGCCATTTATCGCTTGGAGTATTTTTTTCTATGTGGCATACCCCATGCACCCCACTCCCCATGCACCCCACTCCCCATGCACCCCACCCATCCGCCTGGTGTCCAGTGGAGCTAAACTTAAGCTTTGCCCGAAGTTTGTTTTTGCCAAGTGCACTTTGGACAGGCGAAAACACAATAAATTCCGCCAAGCAGTCCGGCAGGAGATAACTTTTCTCTCTCTCCCCCCCAATACTTATTCGCCATAACCCTTACTATGTATATGCACTGCCCTATCGACAGCCACGCCCCATGGGTGTGTGTGGGGCTGCTCTGTGGCATGTTAGAGCTGAAAACTTGCTGGAGAATTAGTTGAGCAGCGTTCACAAAATGACTACGGAAGCAGTGACAGTGCGTAGAGAGAGTGCAGCGGGAAGTGCGGAAAGTTAGGTGGTGGAGAGGGGCAGGCTTTGTTGTCGGAGGGAGTGGCAGCATCGGCATCCGGGCTTGCACCTACCGTAGGCTGGAGCGGCGGCATACTTCACAACTTGAGCGGGAGCGGCGGCCACCTGAGCATAGCCATGCGACAGGGCCGGACCGGAGCTATAGGCGCCATAGCCGCCATAGGCGAGACCAGCAGCGCCCAGGCCGAGGTGTCCGATTTGTCCGTAGTGTCCCAGTCCCAGTCCCAGTCCCACTCCGGACAGCTGCAGAGCCGGGGCCGTGGCTGCGTAATGGCCGCCGCCGCCGTACTGAGCTCCGTAGTGGCCGCCGTAGGCCAGAGCTGGGGCGGCCGCGTAGCCATGACTCGCGTAGGCCAGGCCCTGGATCTGGGCCGGAGCCGTGTGTCCCACTCCAACGGCGTACGAGGCGCCGACGGCGGGAGCGGCAATGGCGTGAGCCGCGGGAGCTAGATTCCGGGTGTTTTTTTTTTGGGGTTAACATTTAACTACGTGCACGGGGGGGGGCATGGAATGGAATGGAGTGTGGTGCTTTGTGCTTTGTGCTTTGCGTTTGGTAATGCTTAAGTCTGCTTGTGGGTGGGTCTGGTCTGGTCTGGTCTGTGAGGGGACAGTAAACAGGATGAGGCTCACCTGCATAGTGGGCCGCCGGGGCCAGGCCGGCATCGTTGCTGATGCTCGAGCGCTGGACATGCGACTGGGAGTGGGCCGTCTGCACCTGGCTGGCGTAGTCCGATTGCGAGGACTGGCCGTAGTGGCCCTTCACCGTGTGCTCCTGCGTGTTGCCCACGGAGGCGTGGTCGACGCTGGGGGCGCTAATCGAGTAGGCGGCGGGTCCGCCCGGCTTGGCCTGTGCGCAGGCGATCGCCATTGCGGCCACACAGAGGATAACCTGCAATAAATCGAAACCCATCAAATGAGCCAACGAGCGCACTTTGTTTTTCTTCATATTTTTGCCGTCTTGTGTTTATTTTGGCAGCAGCAGCAGCAGCAGCGGCAGCGCAGCAGCGCAGCAGGAAATTGCAGACGAGTAAACTTTTAATTAAGTTTCGTAAAGTAGTTGAGCGGAACAAGCAGACGAGAGGGGAGCGAAGGGGCTAATGGAGGGGCGGATGCGGAGCTGCAGATGGGTCTGACTGTATCGAAGGACACACAAAGCGTGTCCCCGGCATCAGTTGGCCGAATATTCCATGGGGGGGGGGGCTAAGTTTGGAGATTTCTGGAAGCAGTTCCCAGCTGGCGGTGCGTTAAAAAAGCAGAAAAGAGCAGAAAGATTATCCTTGTTGAATATTACAATTCATAATAAGCCTCAACCAAAAACCAAATCGAGCAATAACACTACTCGACAAAATCGAACTTTTTTTTTCCTCAAGGATCCAAACCAACTTTTTCTGATAGATATGGGGCTTTAAATTTTTTTAAAGAATTATGGTTTTTTTTCTATGGCAGAACTTTTTTTGAAGAATTTTTGAAGTCTGGTATTTTTTTTTAAAACTTTTTTCAGAGGTAGCGCTTGTTTTTTTCACATAACTCTAGTATCTTACGTCTGGTTGTAAAAAACTTTGCTATTTTGAAAAGATAATTGACACAGCTAAAAGTTAATGCCAAACACCTTGTGATTTCAGCTTACCGTCTGGGAAATATAAAGCATTGAAATGCAAAAATTATGATTTTTGTGGGTATTTTTTACGAAATTTTGACTTTAAAAACTCAGGAAAAGTCGAAAAAAATGATATCTTGTGTCCTCTATTTTTTTGTGTATAGGTGCGTTAATTTGGCGTCGTTTAAGGTATCGCTCATTAAAATCTATGGAGAGACTTTGGAGCTAAAATTCGTTAACCAAACCTAAAATATGGAAAAAATGAACAAAATAAAAGTTGGTTTTGTTCCTTGAGGAAAAATCGTGTTGACCAGTGTAATCGAGCGTGCGGCTGTAAAGATATAAGCCAAAATATGACCCCAGAAATGCATATGCAAATCGGTTTTAATTGACTTTTAATGATTCTTGTCGTGGTGGACCTTTTGGCGCAACTGCCAATTTACGGGCCTACTTTTTTGGCGTATTTTTATTAAAACTAAAACTCGAACTGAGCCCCAGGCAATTTGCACCAAGCACACAGCTAAAAAAATGCTATTTAAATGCAACAAAAAATGCTGCGCTATTTTTTTTCATTTTTTCTATCTTTTCAGTGCATTAAAAGGTCGCGAGGTGCAGGGAATACGATGGGACACTAGTAGCTCTCTTTGGACTCCGGTCCACTTCTGTGCTACGTATGCAGAAGGTGGGCGAGGTCGTGGTAGGGGGGGGCTCTAAGCTCTGCTCTGCCCACTTGCCGCTGGCTCTGCACCTGCTCTGGCAGTGGGTAGCCAGGTCGGGACCTGACCTGACCCTGGCCTGGCCTGGCCTGGAGAGACGCACCCGTAATTAGCAGCGTCTGGGCCCCGCACAATTAGCACGCGTTTCAGCACTGGCACTGGCACTGGTTCTGGTTCTGGCTGTGGCTCTGGCCAGTGCGTTTCCTTGGGCCACCAATTTAAACGGACATTGAAATGGAAATGGAAATGCACTTGCAAATCGCCAAAGCGCCGTAGCGAGGTCGGAGATAAGAGGATTGCAGGTGCCCCGGTAGATGCCAGGATGCCAGGATGGCAGGAAGTAAGCCAGTGGAGCTCTTGGAGCTGCCTTTCTGCCAGCAGCGGCAATTCAAACTTTGTTAACCTGTCGTTGTCGTGGCGACCAAAGGAAAGGCCACAAAGGTAAAGAGTCCTGCCAGCACAGGACGCAGCGCTTGAGGTTTTGCGCGCATCTTGCAACTGGAAACTGGCAACTGGCATCTCTTGGACCCGCACTCCTCGCTCCCCGCCGACGGAGAGGCGGATGCAACATTTCAAAAGGATAACAACTGCTGCTTGGATATCTCCTGAAACTCCCATTGAGCTTATTTAGCATATCCCCGCGACAATGGTGGCCTTCGAAGGCAACTTTCCTGATGCTTGCCACACTGGCCACACTCGCCCACACTCGCCACACTTGCCACACTTGCCACACGCACCTTGAATGCCATTTTGTGGGCTTGTTTAACGTTCACTAAGGATGCTGGAGCGACAAAAAAATACGATTTGGATCGGTTTTTGCTTTGGCTTGCAACTGCGGTCTGGGCTGCGTCTCGGTAACTGTCTCGGTCCGCCGTTCTTTGGGCCTATTTATACGAATTTAGAGTGATGGAAAAGCCCCCCTCCCCCTCGCACCACCCCCTCCCTCTGCACGCGAAATATGGTGCAATATGGGCAAAAAAAGTGGTGCGCCGCTGGCTGCTGCAGCAGCCATGAGAACGGGTTTTCCCCGCAGTTGGCAAAGCAGGCAGCAGGCCCCAGACAGAGCACAGGCGCGGCCCAAGTCTACGCACACAGACAGCTCCTCTGCAGCCGCTGCAGCGACCCCGCCCAGTGCTGATCGCCTTTCGATTTAATCGAAATTACTTCACATCATCGATTGTTTAATTGGAAATTTGTCCGAACTTGTCCAAACGGTAGCGTTGCTGTGTCTGTGTCTGCTGTGTCTGCTGGCGAATGCGGCAAAAGGAAATGCCAACGAACAAGGTGAGCTCTAACCCCATGGATGGGATGGTCACTGAACCACTTGCTATGTAGGGGATGCAGCACTGGGCCGTGCTGTGCTGTGGAGTGGAGTGCCGTGGAGTGCTGTGGCGTGGAGTCTGCTTCCATGACTTGCCTTGTTCCCATTTCCATTTCCATTTCCATTCCTCGTATCGTGGCTTTGCGGCGGCTCTTGTCAAGTGCTTTATTAATGGCTTCAGTGCACAGTCCACAGTCTGCCAGCTCCTATCCTCCCCTCCACTCCACTCCACTCCACTCATTGCCTTTTTTTTTTTTGTAGTTTGTTTCAACTTTATTTTCAAATTACGCGTGGGGTTGGGCGGGGGGTGGGGGGTTCCTTTATTTGTTCTGGCTCCGAATCCCTCCCCTGTGCGACCCGTGCACAGCCCAAAAGTCAGCAAAAGATCTCTCTCTGATCTAATGGGTATCTCCCTAGTCTTAATGCACAAACGCGATGTTCTTTTTGTGTCTTTTTGTGTCTTTTTGTGTGTTTTGGTTTTGGTTCTCACGCAGCCGCCGCCGCCGCCAAATGGGCGCGGAAATTGGGCAGCCAGCCAGCCAGCCAGCGTTGGAGCTGCAGTTGGAGTTGAAGTCAGAGATAAGAGACATAGTAAGAGCCAGGCCAGGCCAGAGCCAGGCCAGAGCCAGGCCAGAGGCTGGGACCTGGGAGCTTGGAACTTTGAGCAGGGGCTCAGCAGGGTTTGGTTTCGCTTTCGAAAGTCTGCAAAGCAAAGTGGAGCTCGATTCGGCGTTAGGAGGCCTTTTTTTTGCCAGTTTTTTTTGCATTTGTGATTGGTGTATCTAAGCCATTTTTGCTTGTGTGGCTGCTGCTGCTGTCCTGCTGTTGTTTGGCTAACAATTTTTGTGGGTCGCATACAATTTATGCGCACTATGTGCGTTGTCGTGACGCGGCAAAGAGAGAGGCCAGCGGCGAGCAGCGAGCGGCGACAGTGGGCCAGAGTTATGCAATGTGTGTGCGTGGCAGCCATTGCCCATTACCCATTACCCATTACCCCTTGCCCATTGCCCATTGTTGGTAGTTGGCCAGAGAGTCTAGACTGTAGACTGGTGGAGCTGACTGCCTCCCTGCCCGCCTCCCTGCCCGCCTCCCTGCCCCACGGCAGATCAAAGCTAAGCGCAAACAAAAAGATTTCGTAACCAAGGCGATGCCGCGAAATTGCTTGCATTCTGCGACCTCCAAAGGAAACACCCAGAAGCTGTCCCCTGTCCCCTGTCCCGTGTCCCCAAAAAGGACGAGTGCAGTCAGCGACCTTCAAGATGGCGCCACTTGCTTTGGCATTGCCAAACAATGAACAAGATTGAGTTGGAGCATTGGAGAGTGGGCTGAGAGTGGGGTAAGAGTGGGCTGAGAGTGGGGTGAGAGTGGGGTGAGAGTGGGGTGAGAGTGGGGTGAGAGTGGGGTGAGAGTGGGGAGATGCAATGCCATCCATTGATTGTCATTGAGTGGATGTTCTCCTTCATCTGCTCTCCCTCTGTGCCACTCCTCTCCGCCCCTGCAGCTGTTTCTGTTGTTCCATTGTGTAATGGTGCGATATTTCAATTACGCTGCTTCCCCATCCCCTTCCCCGACATTCCACCCACACACACACACACACACAATAACAAGCGTCGCAATCTGCGAGCTTTTTGTCTCTGGCATTAATTTGTATAATTGCAATGCCAATACAGGACAAACAGGACAAACAGGACACAGCCCAAGAACAATGTCCATGCGAAAGTGCAGCCAGCCGTAGTCTGCCATCTCGATGTCGCCCTGACAGCACCACCACCACCACCACCACCACAACCACACCCATGCCCCCTCCCACTCCACGCCACGCCACTCCTATCAGCAGCAGCTCCTAGGCGAATGGCGGGTGGCGAATGGCGGGTGGCAAGTCCGTCACAATGTCCAGTCAGGCGCAACATTTCGCCTCAATGTGGGTCAAAAGGCGGCAAAGAACAAGCAGGGGGGGGAAGCAAGGAGAAACGAACAACAAGAGGAGGCGCACACAATAGGCTGCTGTAGCCGAGACACAGCGAATGGAATGGAACTCCCATTGAGTTCCAGTCCCAATTGACAATAAGCAGAAAAGATCGATCTGTTGCCCAGTTGGATGTGGGATCTGGGTTCTGGGTTCTGGCTGCGATACGAATCACTGGATCACTGGATGGCAGCAGTTCCCGGGCCTGCACTTGTTGTTATTATTGCCATTATTGCGAGCTGCCTCCTGCCCTGCCCTGCCCTGCCCTGCCCATCCACTGCGCCATTGTTGCCACATTCGCATTGTGGCTCTTCTTGCGGCGGGTCCTGGTGACATTTGCCTAAATACCCTGCCCTGCCCCCACGCTCTGCACACTCGCACACTCGACCATTATCACACATGCTGCCGCTCTATTGTTGCCCCCTTTTGTTGGTCTTCGGCCAGGGAATGGCTGGCCAAGAGCCGAAGATTAATGACCGACATGCCCTGACAGCGCAACGTCAGCGCGCGGCATCGATATCAATACCGGATACATGTCCCACAAGGGGGGATACAGGGAGTGCAGAAGTGGACCCCCCGCCACCACCAGCACCAGCACCAGCACCACCACAACAGACTCGTGAGCTGCCCATCAATTGTGGGGTGTCGGTAGTTTTGTAGCCAAGCTCAAGAGCCAGTAACTGTCCGTAACTGATCAGCCAGCCCTCTGGAAAGCTCTCTCTCTTGCTGTGTCCCTGAGAGATCATTTCACGCCCTGCTTGAGCGCTCCCTCTCTCCCTCTCTTACTCTCTTACTCCACACAGTTCTAAGCGCAGGCCAAATGGAACCAGTCCGCTGATTGAGCCCCCGCCCCCCTGCCATATGGCTCTGTGCCATTGAAGAGCGGAGTGCAACAAACTTGCCCGAGGGCGTGCTCTCCACCCCTGCCCTGCCCTGCCCTGCCCTGCCCATCATCCAACGTTCACCCGAAACTGGAGCAACGTCCTGCCATTACGAGCTGTGCATAAAACACACACACACACGGCTCTGAGCGCCGGAGAGCATTCAAATTTAACCTTCAATTACAAAATCAATAAGCAAAAGGCGAACCCCAACCACAGCTCCACCCCCGCCTGCACCGCCACTTTAACCAGCAGCAGCAGCCGCAGCAGCATTTTGAGATCTTTAGGCCAGATTTGAGAGCTGCTTTTGTCTGTGGGACCGGGCCGTTGCCGTTGCCGTTGCCGTGGCTGTACATTTAATTTCCATTCTTAGACTTTAATATATTTTCATATTTTTCTTAGAGTTTTCATGGCTATTGGGGGGGGGGGGCACACAGCTGCGGCTGCGGCTGCAAAAACCGTTTGACAAGTGGGCGGGCGATGGGCGATGGGCTACGCCTCCATTGTGCGTTAATTTGTTGTGCAATCTGCGCCTTTATTATGTTTCGATTGTTATTGTACATTCCCCGCCATTCCCCCTGGAGCATGGTGGGCGGTGGTGGGGGCGGCGAGGCAGACAGGGACTTGCCTTGGACTTTATTTCATTTAAATTTGATTATTTTTTGCTAACGAGATCATGACGAGACTCGGGTCTGGGCACCAAGCACCAAGCACCCATAGTGCCCATAGAGGGCAGATAGAACAAGATTTTCCATTGCGTAACTCGCTGCTCCCTGCTCCCTGCTCCCTGCTCGGTGTGGCAAGCGAGCTATTAAAAATCCAAGACACTATCGACACCGTCAATTGCGGCTAAGCGCTGCAATTATCTCCGTATCTACGTATACGCAATATTTTTGGCTGGCTCGCTGGCTCGCTGGCAGCCCAGACCAGGAAGCCTTCGACGCAGCCCCATCGATCCCACACTCTAGCGCCTAGCCCCAAGCGTCCTAAGCTTCAATGCAAAGCCGAAGTTGGGCTCTGGGAACTCTCTGGGATTTTATCACACTGAAAGCAAAAGCAGAAGTTGTGAACTGAACCCCTGGGCGAGGATAGCCCACAATAATTTTCATCATCTAAGCTGCTGGCGGGTTATATAATTTATTTACCTTTCGAATTCGAGCGACAAATTATTCATTCAGTGCTTGCTTGGATAATTGTGCAGACCTCGCTCCCCACACAGCACGCACTGACAACTGGCCACGCCACTTTTTGGTGCACTTCTCAGTTGCATAAAGCGCAATCCGCTCCATTGAAGAACTGCAGTGTGAGCGGAGCGGAGCGGGCGACCTGATTTCCCCAAGCTCGAGCTCAAGACAATTCCACTCCATTGCTGCTGCTGCTGCTGCTGCTGCTGTTGCCGCTGCTGCCTTTTGATTTAATTAGTTTATTTTATTGATATTCACATTCTGTGGCCCACACGCGCACACACAAATATTTTGGGGACAGACTCCGAATGCGGACGTGGACGTGGACGTGGGCAGCAGGCGAAACCCTCGCGGCAGCCATACAAACACCCGGCCAGATGATGGCCGAAAACTTTGATGCGAAATTCAGATTCAGCGAATATTCATGGTACCGCGCACTTGTGGCAGGCGAAGGGCAGGGCATATTATGTTGGCGAATCATATCCGGAGCCAG